TCATCTGGATTTTTTTGTGCGTTCGCCGTTTTCTGGATTTGACCGTACGTCAGGTTTCAGTAAGAAATCCACACAAGTCTTTGTACTTGAGGCCCCAGGTCTCTTGGATGTAACCCCATTATATCTTAACTTACCATCATAACTTAAAATGCTGGCATGAGAGGCAGTGAGTGATGGAGTTTATTCTTYGGTCCAGCATTCGTCACCCTGACTGGTGTGAATATTTTGTTCTAGCTTTTGTCCTGAAGAAAAGCAGATGGTGCTTTAATTTGATTGAGTTGTCTACATTTCTTTCAGGACCATCCGAGTGTGGCTGAAAAGGGACAGCGGTCAGTACTGGCCCAGCATCTACCACACCGTCTCCTGTGAGTAGTGCTTCTTTGTATCCACAGTGTAAGCACCGTGTCCTGCTGGTGGTGAACGTCTGCTTCCTTCTTCCTTTAGCTCCGTGCTCCTGCATGTCTTACCACCATGACAGCAGACGCATCTTCATAGGCCAGGACAACGGAGCTGTTGTGGTGAGTGGAGAGAGCACAGACTGCACCTGATGGAATAAAAACTGTCAGCCAGGTTCTAAAGCTGGGATATTTGTCTCTGTCCTGATAGCTGAGGAAGATGTTTTTGTTGTTTGTCTCTTTTCTCCTAGGAGTTTCTCATCTCTGAAGATTTCAACAAGATGAACCACGTGAAAACATATCCAGGTGAGACAGTCTGAATATTAAATCCCTGCCCAGCAGATTTGGTAAAAATGGTTCCTTTCGGAAGAACGTTCTTTTGCTTCATTTTTTACTTTTCTTTCCTTGCTTCCTTTTTTTCTTTCTCTCTTTTGCTTTCTTATTCCTTTCACTTTTTTTTTCCTTTTTTCATTTTCTTAGTCTTTCTGTCTATCTGTGTTTGGGTGAACCTACGCATTTTACAATATTAACATTTGGATACTAAAGTCCGGTGAAGATCGAGGATGTGGTAGGCTGGATGGATTGATGACGAGGGTTTGATGGCAGCAGTGCATTGGTAACATCCAAACAATTAACAGACGTTTATTAGTTTATTTTGGGCCATGATCTCCATCATGCACTATGGCACCGCTCATTAAGGGGAGGAGCCTAAAGTGTAAAAAAAACAACAACATTATACAGAGTTTATTTTATGAAATATAATTTTATGTGAATTTTAAGCCTGTTTTTGAACTGGTCTTCATTATTTGGCAATGACTAATTTTAAGATCAAGGCTATTTTTTAAATTTAATCATGAAAACTGAGGTACAATTATTTTTTTACATAGTAATTTTGTTTAAAATAAATTGAGGTGAGTGGCTATAATTCAGCATCATCACCTTGTTTAATAACGTAGTCAGGTAAATATTAGGGGCGTAAGAAAATATTGATACACTGAAATTTCGCGATATTTCATTTCCCGATACTGTATCGATATTCTAAAGCCCTGTATCGATTTTTTTATTAAGGTTTAAAATGTCAACTTTCCTGCCAGC